CGAGTTCCTTCCACAAAACCATGCTGCCTGCCTTGGAATAGTGAAAAGTAATTTCTGGTGAGTGGGAAATGTGAACCACAGAACTCAAGGGAAAGAAGAAATGTAGAAAGAGATAATGGATTAAAAAGAAAGAGTCAGACAACCAATGGGCAAGAGGTTGTGACTTCACAATCTGGCAGCAACGGGAGGAGGAAACCTGACAGAGCTGAAACAGCCCGAGCAGAGGGCTTCTTTTCTTTTCTTTCTCAGGAGTTTCGACTGAACTACTGCGGAGTTGAGAGCGCCTCACTAACAGAAAGACCGTGACGAAGTAGAACACTGCAAAGAACAATTTGAGTCCAAGGATTCCGTATGTATAAAGGTGGCTGAGTGAACCAGAAAGGCTTGGGTTGGGTTAGCAGGGTTCAGAGACGCCCCTACCGGGGCAAGGCCTTGCTCATCCACAGGCTATGCAACCTATGGTACCTGCAGCAAGGGGGCTGATGTGCTGGGGCTGAAATGGATAAAGGGAAATGAAGACAGGATTACCTATCAGAGATACTTCTTCAGAGGGAGAGTCAGAAGGCTATGAAGGTACTTCAAATGCTCTCCTTAAACAGATTAGTTTAAGAGACATTTAGAATGTAAGCTTTTTGAAGTCAACAGCCTTGGATTTGGGATGGGGGTGGGGTGTTGTTTGTTTCCCAAATAGTATAGAGTCTTGAATTCTACCAACTGAACATTAAAACTCATGTTACAGAACCACATTAACCAGTTACTAAATACTAGACAACCATACTCTGGTTTCTCTTCGGATCGTATAAATCTTTCTCCTTTTACTAAATACTAGACAACCAGTAAGTTGTTGTGGTTGATTTTTATCTCTCGGATTCACATAAACCATGTTAAATCACTTTACCAAAAATAATAGCTAAGGGAGTTACAACTCAAGCTTCTGAGCTTATCAGAAACTGCATCAGAGAAGACAAATGTCAAACAAACACGCTGTTGAAGCACAGTTGCAAGTGTCACACTGACGTGTGAAACACCTGCACTCCTCGTGTTGGAGCATCGACTAGGAGCGGCACCCCCGCTGCCACCCTGTCACTTCAAAGAGATGTTTCCACAATGAGATACCACTTTACACCAGTCAGGATGGCTATAATAGACAAAGCAACAAACAACAAATGTTGGAGAGGGTGTGGGGAAAAGGGGACCTTAGTTCACTGTTGGTGGGATTGTAGACTGGTACAACCATTATGGAAAACAGTATGGAATTTTCTCAGAAAAATAAAAATTGACCTGCCTTTTGACCCAGCAATTCCACTGCTAGGATTATACCCCAAGAATCCTAAAACATCAATTTCAAAGAACCTATGCACCACAATGTTCATAGCAGCACAATTTACAATAGCCAAGAGTTGGAAGCAACCTAGGTGCCCATCAGTAAATGAATGGATACAAAAATTGTGGTACATATACACCATGGAATTTTATGCAGCAGAGAGAAAGAAGGAGCTACTACCTTTTGCAACAACATGGATGGAACTGGAAAGCATTATGCTGAGTGAAATAGGCCAGGCATTGAAGGACAAATACCATATGATCTCACCTTTGACAGGAAGCTAAAGAATAAAACAAACAAGCAAACAGAATAAAAACAAAGACGCTGAAATAGAGAACAAGTGGGCAGCGACCAGAGGGGAGAGGGAAGGGAACTTAAGGGGGAAAAAGGGGGAGGGAGTTTGAGGAACAAGTATGAATGACACAGAGATGAGGACTGGGGGGGGCGGGGAGGGGGAGACCGGGCGGGGGGGGGGAGAGGAAAAAAAAATGTACTTGAAAAACAAAAAAAAAAAAAAAAAGGAAAAAAAAAAACAATCGTCATAGAAGAAAGTGATGGTTTTTCAAATACTGCTAATACGAACACTAAGAGGGCAAAGGTTGATCATTAAGAGATGGAGATAAAATACTGTCTATTTTAAAGACAAGATCTAAGACATTAATTAAGACAGAGTTGTGAAGAGTCACGAAACTACAAATCACTACCTATAACAGACGTCACCTGCTGAGGAGCTCCAGTGCAGCCCCGCCCAAAGTGAGAGCGTCTCCCGCGTTAACCTACGGACAACAGTGTGTTTCCTAGGATGTCTGAACAACAGAAAGGTTATTTGTGAACTACGGTATTTCCTTTCCGGAATAGTTTGGTGAAAGCCCTGGACACGCCCCTCACGCTGTGGGTCATTGAAATCTGACCGCCTCTGTCACAGCCCGCTCACTCTCAGGACAAGAGGGTTCACAGAACCTGCCACCTCTGCTCCCAGACTCCACATCCAAAAACACCTCTGTGCATTCACTCTCACATATTCTACATTCACATAGTTACGTTATTAAACTGCTCGGCAAGCAGGTGCATGAAACATGCAGTGTGAAAGAGTAAAGCTAAAAGGCTTTCCATTTAGGGAATGGAAAAAAATTTTGAATGAAGTCTCCAAATGATGCATAATTTACCTGGTTCGTGTTTGAAGACTGAACCTGTGCAGATACTGGACACTATAAAAGACAGAAAATGGAATAAAGCCTTATCTTCTCCTAACATGCAAATATTTTCCAAATCCTACTCTATGATATAGACAAGAAAAAGATGATATTCATGCAAAAACCAAAGCAAGAGACCTACCTAGACTGCATCCTTGGAAAATGAGAGCACTTACTATTTTCCATGTGGCTTTCTCCTGCAGCCTATCCATCCCAGTTTCCTCTTCTCCCTACAGAGGGCACTACCCCTCAGTCATGCTCCGGAGACCCTGAAGCTAACCACTCCTCTTCACTGTGCTTCACAAAGTGTGTAAAAACAAACCCTGGTCCATAGTTCCTTTAGCCTTTAATAAATGTCCTATAGGTCACTTATGGAAGAGGTCATGCCATTACCTACCAAGCAGCAAAACAAATGGTGATAAATTCTCTACAATTTGCAAAATGTTGCCATAGAAGCTGACAGACAAACTACGAAAAGAGATCAGTTCATCCAAGATTGACACAGAGCTACCCCCAGAGTGAACTCTGGCAGAAACTCTGTTGAAGCTGTGCCGAAACATTCAGTCCTTTGCATACAATCCTGTGGCCCTGGCCACAGGTACTGCCGAAAACAATTTGCAAAGGGATGTGACTGCCTAAATTCAGTTTTCCTGGTATGCCTCGGTTAATCCTCTACTTTTTCTTATTAAAAATTAAAGAAAACGCTTTGATCTGTGATGATGTACTGAATAAGTATGACCCTGTTATCTCGTTTTACTTCCAACACAAGATGATGCCCCTTGAAATACAGCACGCCCCGTTCCAAGTCACAACACTGTGCACAGCAGGAGGACACAGGCAGCAGCCCACAGACGGAATCCAGTACAGAGATGCGTTGTGTTTGTCTGCAAAGTATTTTTTTAATTGAACTAGTTGCCAATATTTTTAAAATACGATTTCTGATTCCTCCTGACAGTAGGAAAATCTGATGACACATGGCCCATACTCACAGACAGCAACAGTCAGTCACAGCGCATTAGTAAAATAGTAGCCCCTTTTCAGAGGAGGCGTGCCCTCTCCAGTTCCCTGCAGTCCCTCACTCGTAGCGGTATTACACCTGGCCCTACTCCCTCGTTTCCACTGTCCACCTATTGCCCCTACAGGCATTTGAGTCTGCGAACTCCATTCCAATGAAAAGTTATCTGAATAAACAGCCTTATATGAGCATGGCACACGGACAGAGCATTACTCTAAATAAGACCAGCAGGCAAAAGGAAGAGGAAGAGAAGGAGTGGGGGGCCCTGGCTGGGGTGCTTCAGTGGACTGAGTGCCGGCCTGTAGACCGAAGGGTTGTCAATGGTCTGGCACATGCCTGCGTTGAGGGCCAGGTCCATAGCTGAGGGTATTCGAGAGGCAACTGATTAATGTTTCCTTTGTCGATCTATGTTTCTCTCCCTTTCTCCCTCCTTTCCCCTCTAAAAAAAATAAAAAAAAATAAAAAAAGAAAGAAAGAAAGAAAAGAGGAGTAGGAGGAGACGGGTGGAGAAAAGGGATTAAGGGAAGAAGGCTAAAGTGGAAGTGGGGGACCAGAGAAGGGAGAGGGGAGGGAAAAGAAGAAGAAGGTGTTTCTGCCTTCAGAGAGCTTACAGTCCAGCAAAGGAGAGCAAAGAAGTACTGGACAATTTAAAAGCAACAAATCAATGAATACAGAGCAATGTAATAGACAGTAAGTAAATAATGCTGAAATGAAAAGTAAAGCTAATGATAAGAGTGGATGTATTTAATAAGAAATAATCTCCAAACTTCTGAGCAGATGAGGTAGTCTGCTCAGGCCAAAGAGAGGAAAATATGGGCCTTTTTAGATAAGAACACAAATAAACAAATGGAAACTAGCCAGGTCTAGACAGGCAGGGACTGATTAAAGGATGGAATGAGAAGACAGAGTGATTAGCTGATTGGTTTAACTGGAACAAAATCATAAAGACTGGAGCAACACTTGATCAAATGATGTTTCAGACACAGATAAGTTTCCAATGGCATTTTATCTCATTTAACCTCAGTCAACACCTCGTCACCACTGAGGATCCTTTTGAAGAGAACCACTTGTGGAGATGGTATTATTTCAATTGAGTATCTCTGAAGATCAAAAAAAAAAAGTGACACAGTAAAGACTAGAAATATGTAGGCTCCCTCTCTGAGCCTAATTTATAAGCATGTCAATTTGATTAAAAAAAGAGGGCAATTGTTAAAAGGAGGGAAAAAATTATAAAGGAAAGATAATGGAAAAAGAAGCCAAAAGAAAAGAAAAAGCAGACAGAAAGTCTGTTTGAAAGCACAAGCTCGTAGCCACAGATGAATGTAACTGCCTTCTATCTGGAGTGATCCCCAAATTCTCCTGCCCTGAGTAACCAACCTCATACAGAGCTTCGGCTCATTCATTTACATCAGATGCCACTTTCCAGTATGTCGCCTCCTTGGGGCTCCCTGATGCTGAATTTGCTCACCTGAGGTTTCTGAAAAGGGTTTCGCCTGGAAGACTCAAAGGTGGGATAAATTGGCCGGTTTGATGCCCTCTGGGCAGGATCTTGGCACACAAATCCTGAACAGAGAATGGGAAACATTAAAACCTGCCATTTTCTAAGAAATCAGCAGGCTTAGCTGCACCTTTTTTTTTAGATGTACTAACTCAGTTTCAACATCATAAATACTATAGCGATCCATCCTCAAGAGGGTTGGTTAGATTAGACATGACTCTCCCCCACACACACTCCGCTGGAACTCTGAACCACTGTGACCGGGGAGAACAAGAAGGGAAAACACAAGAGCTAAATCAACCTTCCTTGTTGGGCAGCTGCAATGTGACTCTGAGGGAAAAGAGATGCACAGTTGTGATGAACTGCAGCACCAAGGTGCAAACCACCATTTAAAAACGCACAGTTGTTAATACAAACAGATCGTTTTAAAGTGGCTTCCTGGGTGGTGTCTGGAAAACAATGTTCTTTTTACCAGGAGAATCCAGAAGCAAGTGCGGAGTCTTACCCTGTTGCAGGATCCACCCCTGGAACTGCTGAAGCTGTTCTACTGGCAACTTTCAGAATGAGCTTTGTGGGGCATAAACGGTGACGGGAGGAGACTTGACTTGGGGTGGCGAGCGCACAATACGACACACAGATGATGTGTTGCAGAACTGCACTCCTGCAACCTGTGTAGTTTCATTAACCAGTGTCACCCAATAAATTCAATTTTGAAAAGTCAACAACAACAAAATGAGTTTTCGTGGCCTTTCTATGGCTTCAGAGATTAAGCTTGGGCTAATTTCACTTTATCCTAAAAGGAAGCAGATTCCCGCCTAAGGAGAAGAGTACCTAAGGTTTACAGCTGGTACACCAAGTACTAGTTCATTTCAAATATATTTTAATATGACTTTTTACAGTACTTAGAAAAACAACAACAAACCCTCAACATACCTACCTGACTGCCCATCTCCATTTCAAAGTTTTGGCTTATCTACTCGAAAGGGCTTTCTTTCCTGAACTGCTGCAGTTATAACTTCTACAGATCATGTTGACACCAGCAGAGACTGTCTAGCAGAAACAGAGCCAGCCTCCTTTGTAACAAAGCTTCTTCAGTGGGTTTCACTGTCCCGGCTCAGAGAAAAATATACTTTCTCCAGATTTTTGCTTAATTCTCTTCCTCAGCTCATAATTCCTGTGCCCAGGAATTAGGTCTCAGCCCTAGTTGTGGTTCAACCTCAGGACAGGATGGAGCCAGGGGCAGCAGGAACACATAAACACTTCCCTGAAAATATAATTTTTTAGTACAAAACATCCAGCGTGGCTCGGGAACTGCCAGTTGGCAACACCTGTGGAGCCTGACAACACGGACGTGCTGGGTGACTTCTGTGTGCGTTCTCAGGCACCGCCACTACTCACCGACGACAGTGAACATGTCGGAAATCATACTGGCTTTAATCTTTAGGTCCAGCGGCGCATCACTAACAGAACAGAGAAAGAAAAGAGCAGTCGATAACTGTAGGTAAACATAACAGCTGCCCCTAACAGGCCCCCGTTTAGCAAAAACTTGCAAATGTCAACAAGGGGCGACACATAAAGCATATCGAATCTGTGGAAAAAGACAAAGAAATCTGGCAAAAATATTAGAAATAAAATCTTGGTGTGAAGTTCATCCTCTGTGAGACAGGCCCTGCACCCAGGCGCTGATTCCCTGACATGCAATCTTTTTATTCTGGAAGGTCTTATGCAATTCAATTCCGCACAAGTCAAGAATACCGCTTCATGATCGCTGCGGCTTTTAGGTCAGACTTGCAATGTGCTCTTTTATAAGTGTGCCCATCACTCAAATCATTGTTTACTGATGCAATAGTCTAATCATTCGTGCATGCAAAAGAAGAAATTTTGGCTATCTTGACACTTTTTTTAAGGCTTCATTTTTTGTTCTAAATCAATCTTCATTAGCTTACCGGCTTGCAAATGAGGGCAAAAAAAAATACAAGTTGTACCAAAATATCACCAGATGATGCGGCAGGAATCCACACAGAAACAGCACAGACTGAGAGATGGAGGCCCTGCGGCAGTGACCGCTACATTGGCGGCGGTGCTGACGTGTGTCTCCATGAGCCAGAGCGTGCTGGCTGCAGGGCCACACCTCACTCTCACTCCGGGGGCTCTGACCCATGTGACGCGCCTGGCTGGGCAAGCAGATGAACGCTGCCTCAACGAGAGCGCAGCCCAACATCTGAAGGCTCCAGCTCCCCACCTTACAACTGGGGTGAAGCCAAACTCCTGCCCTACAAAGTGGTCAATCTGTCTCGATTTGATTACTTGGCATTTTGCCAACATTGCTCATCCTTAAAAATGCTGCACCTGGGTGGTCTCTGGACTATATCTCCAGGGTTCTCTCGCTACTTAGAAAAGCATACAGCTCATAGAAACTCTGGGTGTCACTATAGGTATAAGCAAAATCTTCTCTGGGACTGAAAAATATTCTTATTTCCTTCTTCTGAATAGCAGATAGGTTAAAGTCTGTTTTTAATTGTTTGAAGTTTTTAGACTTTAATCTTGGGTAGGTATCAGGGTATGAACAGGGTAAAAGGGCCAGCTGTTACCTACGCCACCCTAGGGCTGGCTCTGTACCTTTATAGTGTATGTGGATTTGAGTCTGTGCGAACCTTTCTTTCGTAATAAAGGAAATGTAATACCATGTATGTTTCTGCAGTCTTAACAGAACACCTACAAAATTAAAAGAGAGAGAGAGAGAAAGAGCAGGAGAACTGGGGATAAAAATTAACCCAGGAAGCATCCCTTAAAAGCTGAACAGCACAGTAAACAGCACAAAATGACTAGTCCCCTCGGGATCCACAGTTGCCGTATGGACTTTGACAACTTACCACAACTCTCCCAGTCTCAGAGATTCTACACACCTCTACATAGTAACCGGGGGAAGAAGTCTCCCAGAGAAATGATGGGGGAAAGCGTGTTTAAGTGCTCTCTCTAGAGAGCTCTCCTTCTCCAGGAGGATGGTACAGACTACTTACCAAGCCAAAGAAGGAGAGAGATTCACTTCCAACAACCATGGCTTCAGAGTAGAATCTATGAGCACGTCAAAGCCATAGAGTTCTAGAAATACAATATAACACAATACACAAGATCATTTTCCATATCACATCCAAGCAGAGATCTATAAGATTTATTCCAGCTCTCATCAAAGGCCTAGAAACTTGCTGAGTACAAGTAATAAGCGGAAGGAGAAGCAGAGAACCTTTCAAGGTCAAGAGAAATTAATCAAGCTCTAGAGATAAGAAAACAATGGTATAAAACTCCAGTTTTTATCATCTTACTCTACTGACATCCTGAATTCTACACAGAAAGTAGCCTGACTCTAAAGGTTAATAAGTATGATTCTGCTGTGCTATGGGGTGGGGGGGTGGGGAAGCACCGAGAAAAGGAATGCCACACGTGCATCCAAATCAGTGTTGTCTGGGGCCTGGTGTGGACTGTCCCCCACCACTTGCCCACCGCACTCTGAAAACAGAAAAATCTACTGACGGCATCTCTCTAGGGTCCTCCCATCACGTTTTCTGAAACCAAGATCTTGCTTTTCGCAACCTAGTCAATAAGACATCTAAGTGTAAAATGTATTTATTCTCTCCCCTCCCCTATAGTTCCCATTTCCCTTTGAAGATTAAAAATAAAAGACACTGGCCCGAAAGAGAAAGACAGAAGAGAAGGGAGAAAGCCAGCGGCGTCACAGCAGGGCCGGGGGAGCCGCCTCGCACCACCTCCGGGAGGGAGCCGGAGACGGAACTTCCTCAGATCCAGACTCTTTACTAATTCTCTTACCCTAACCTCCCAACTGCTGCAAAAAGCAAAGCAAGGGCGTGAGCAGACTTCTCTCCCAGAACGCAGGGGTGCAAGGCTACCTTTGGAACCCCAGTTGGCAACCTTCACTCTACTATTGTTACTGATAGTGAGCCCCTCTCCAGAGTCCTCCTTGGTGTGCACACACAGAATACACCAGACTTTCGGGACCCTCGTCCCTCACGTACACTGTCTGCACCTTCTCTCCGGGAGGAAACACTGCCTTCCTCACCGTTCGACCACCGGTCACAGCCCGCAGCTCACACCCACAACTTTCCAGAAACTTGAAAACAAATGTCTTTATTACAAGAAGGATTTTCCCATTTCTCAATCCTCTCAAAAGCACAGGGAAATAGACACAGGCTTCTGAGAAGATGGTGCCAATGGATGTCCTCAGAACACAGGAAGTGCGATGCAGCACCAGGGTTCCCAGAATGGGAATCCGGACACCTGGTCTTCCTCAGGACTCTACCACCGACTTGCTGTGGGAAAATCACTTTTTCCCACAAAAAAAAAAAAAGAGAGAGAGAGAGAGAGAAGGGAAATCACTTCTCTTTTTTAAAAGATTTTATTTATTTATTTTTAGAGAACGGGGAAGGGATGGACAAAGGGAGAGAAACACCAATGTGTGGTTGCCTCTTGCACACCCCCTACCTACTGGGGACCCGGCCTGCAACCCAGGCATGTACCCTGACTGGGACTCGAACCAGGACCCTTTGGTTCACAGGCCCACGCTCAGTCCACTGAGTTATGCCAGCCAGGGCCCTCTCTCTGCTATTTCTTCATCATCTTCTGCTTTCCCTATGCTCTCTGCTCATCCCCATCTGCCAATATCTGTACGCTCAGCAAACCTGTGCCCAGAACTCCTGCCTACGCAGTATGGGTTCAGGCAGACGTCCGCATTCAGACTTTCTCTCAGGAAGAGCCTCCATGAGTGAGGTGGTTCCAAAAGTGCTGATCTGGGGTTCCATTGAACGTGCAAAAATAATCACAAACTGTAAGAGAATCTGAGTTGGGTTTCCCTTTCATGTTCGGTACACAAAAATCACATATTATCTATAACTATAAAATGTAAAGAAAAGAAGGTTCCCTTACCTAATTTCTTTTGTTAGCAAACTATAGCTTTTACGGTCAGGACATTCTTCTGAATATTCTACCTCCCCTTCACTCATCCGCAGGGTATTGCCCTTTTAACCTGAGGAACATCTCCTGTGACGTGGCACTAGACACGGCATTCAGAAGGGAGCCCTGACTTCAGAACCTACAGGTCCATGTCAGTATCATGCAAGCAGAGCAAGTAGAACAGGAGTATGATACAAGAAAACAACATTCTCTTCAGTGTTTAAAAGCAGAAGCAGAGGACTCGACTGTTTCAAAAAGTGGTGATATTTATAATAGTACAAGGAACAGGGTGAGAATAATGATGGATCCACATATTGATCAGATTTGCAGAACCAGCCACAACTGAAGACAAACTGAAATCAGAATAACATCAATTACACCGACTATTTCAACAACTCATTTTCAGCAGCCAACACAACTACTTAACTATTTCCCAAATTAAGAGGCAAATTCCAAGAATCTCGGATGAAAGGCTGAGAACCAATATTCTGGGAAGAAAAAAAAAAGACCCAAAAAGAGAAAACACCCTTTACAGTGACAACTGAATTTTTACGTAGGTGAGTAAAACCCATTAGTGCTAAACAACGCCATAACCGACTTTGAGTGGAACTGCGTGTGTAGATGAACCAGGCTCGGACCCAGTGTCACTGACAAGTGAGATAAGCGTGTGACAGCATTACATCGCAGTGCAAAGCCCAGCTCACCTAAGTGGCTGGAACTGGAGGAAAGAAATGGAGTGAAAAGACAGCATTTGTATCAAGTTCACCTCTTAACATAATCAGCTCGGCTTAAGAAATATAATTTGGGTCCTTTGCAGGCTACCAGAACCCTGGTAACCCTTTTAACTCACGGCTGGTCTTTTCTGTGGGCACTGAAGGTTTTAAAAGGTAAGCGGTAGTTTGTAACAAGAATATTAAACTTCCTCACTTTCCAACACTGTCTGTGCCAGCAGCGGTGTCTAGAATTCTAAAAACTCGCACCCAGGAGGAGACCCACCAGGGTTCCTCTCAACGAGGGCTGTGGGCAAGAGAGGCTCTCTCCCCTGAGCCACTGTCTTCATCACAACAGGAGAGCAAGGGTTGTCCAAGGACAGTTGCTACCACCTTAATCAACGTTTCCTCAGGAAATTTTTCCACCATGAGAAGTATTTCCTTGAGCCCCCAGCCAAAACGAAACAAACTTGGAAGTTAAACTAGTGAATGGCCCCACTTCCTCCTTTACATGAGCACCATGTCTGCCTGTGTCTTAAAGCAGCTTCCAGAAAAAGCCATCTCCTCTTAGCCACCTTAACTTTCTTAATGCCTACTCACTCCTAACCCATAAGAAAGTCCTTCTGCTCCCGCCGCTCTACTAATTGACGGTTCTCACCATGATCAACCAAAGACCACCGTACTGCCAAGCCCAAGCATCTGAAACTGCTGACCACCCCTCGCTTATTGAAACTTTCTTCTCCCTTGGACCCGGGCACCGCACTCTGCTGGTTCTTCTCTCCTCTCATTCCTTCTCTTCTGCCCAGCTGTCCTCTCATAGGTTCGCTCAGGGTGGCTTCCTCAGGTCTCTTTCCTTCTCAATTCTACTTCTCCTCTTGGGTGACCACTGTATTCTCATGGCTGCAATTAACATTTGATGATGATGTTCAGACCTACGTCTTCAGTGAAGTGTCTCCTGGACACCAAATCCATAATTCCAACTGCCCTGCAGACAACTTCCCTGGGATATCCCACAGGTCTCAACACTCAAGAAAACAGAACTTGCTTTCTTTCCCCCAAACCTGTACGGCTTCCCATTATTCTTCATCTCGGAAAATGGAAACCCCGCCCACCAGTCTCCAGAGCTGGAAATGCTCTCCTCGCCACTTCCCAAACCCAACACATCGCCAGACCTTGCCTCTCTTTATTGCTCTTTAATCCAGCCTTCTATCATTTCTTTTAAGGTAGAGTTTACATAAAACATAAAGGACAGACCTCAAGTATACAATCTGACAAGTCCTGATGGACACACCCATGGAACCCACACTTCTATCAACCACACAGAAAACTTCCAGCATGCTAGAAAGGTCCCTCGTGTTCCTTCCTTGTACACTTCCCCCTTCCTGGCACATCCCCAACCACTCACTGTGCTTATTTCTTCCACCACGGGTTAGTTTTGCCTATTCTAAAATGTCATATAAATGGAAGCATGAAGGATATACCCTTTCAAGTGTGGCTTCTTTCCTTTAGCATGTTTGCGAAGTTCATCTACCTATCATTGTTTCTGTTTTAACACAGGTTTCTTGAGACAAATGTACATACAATAAAAGCCACACTTTAAAACTGTACAGCTTGATGAGTTCTGCCCAATGTACACAGTTGTTTAACCACCACCACAATCAAGACATAAAACAATTCTGTCACGAATGTTTCCTCGTGCCCATTTGTAATCAATCCCCACTCTGTACCCAAAAGCATCCACTGATCTAATTTCTGCCTTTTTCCAAAAAGTCAAGTAAGTGAAATCATACAGTACTAGCCTTTGAGAGTGGCTTCTTTCATTTCACGTTTTGCTTTTGAGAGTTATCTGTGTTACTACATGTATCAGTCATGTGGCTCACTCCTTTTATTACTGAGTAGTATTCCATTTTAGGGACAGAACACAATTTACTCATCCCTTCAACAGCTGATGGACACCTGTGTTGCTTTCAATCTTTGGCAATTGCGAATAAAACTACCATAAACATTCGCATACAGGTATCTGTGTGAACATACGGTTTCGTTTTTCTCGGGTAAATACCCTGGAGTGGGATCACTGGCTCACATAGTAAGCATGTGTTACCACTTCATTCCTCTTACCTACGAAATGAGATCCCTAGCACTAGTCTGTCCCCACTGTGGTCCATTCTCGGCATGGCCATCAGAACTACCTCTCTAAAGACAGGCAGCGATTGTCAGCAATCAATACTGTTGCCAGGTTGGTTCCTGGAGGATTTTACTGGTCACTTCTAATAATGCAGAAGAGTTTCCCTTTGTTGCAATTCCACTGTACCGAGCTTTAAGTCAAAAAATGATACAAGTTAAAGAAAATAATGGCAATCCTGCTGTTCCCCTGCTCAAAAGCTCCAGAGGCTGGCTGCTGTCCACCAGATGGGCTTAAGCAGGTCA